GCACTATGCTTAATGCTAGGCATACAAAGGTAAAAGATAGTCTCTGCTCTCAAGGAACTCAAAATCTAATGTTCGAGACAACACGCAAACAACTATTTACAAAGCATAATACATATAGGATAAATTAGAGATGGTCAACCAAGAGAAGGCATTATCACTATGGGTGTTTAGGAAAGGCTTCTGGATTTTAGCTGAGAATTGAAGGGAGCCAGTGAAGCCAGGTGGCTGAGAGGAGGAGGAGGAGAATTCCAGGTATGTGGAAAAGTCAGTGAAAATGCATAGAAATGGGAGATATCTGGCACAGGATTTTATATTTGATACTGGAAGTGATAGGGAACCACTGGAGTTTATGGAATTATGGGAAGGGGAGTGGAATAATAAGGTCAGACCCGCATTTTTGGAAGATCATTTTGACAGCTTGCTGGAGGGTGGACTGGAATGAGTAGAGTTGAGGCAAGGGCACTAATCAATAGGCTATTGTAGTAGTCTAGGTAGGAGGTGATGATGGCTCCTATCAGGATGGTAGGAGAGATATTACAAAGATAAAATTGACAAGATTTGGCAATAGATTCAAAATGGGGAATGAGAGTGAGGAGTTGAGGATGATACCTAGGCCTATTCTATGAGCCCGAAGGACTGTAAGGATGGTGCTGCCCTCCGTCATAATAGGAACATTCGGAACAGGGGAAGGCTTGAGGGAAAAAAGAATGAGATCCATGTAGTGTGAGTTGAGTTTAAGACATTCAGGTCAAGATATCTCTTAGGCATTTGAAGATGAGAATCTGGAGGTTAGGAAAGAGGTTAGATAAGTAGGTGGTAACTGGGTCCTGGGAGCTAATGTGATCACCAAGCCATCTTTTGCTTTTGTATATCTACATACATATATATGTATGTATGTATGTATGTATGTATATGTATACATACATATATGTGTATATGTATGTATAAGTATACACATATGTATATGTATATCTACATATATAAACATGTATACATACATGTGTAGTTTCTTCTCAGAAGAATGAAAGGTCTATCAAGGCAGAGGTTTTCATTTTTTTGTCTGTGTCCCCAGCTCCTGGAATATAGTAGGTGCTTAATAAATATTTGTTGAATTGAATTTACTCAAAAATGCTATACACACAAAACATTTAAAGTTGTAGAAAATCAATAAACATCTATTCAGCATTTATTGCATGCCAGGCACTGTACTAAAGATATAAAAAAATGGCAAAAGACAGTTTCTACCCTCAAGGAGCTGCCCTTATGGAAGATACAAACAAATATATAGAAAGCAAGCTGTATACAGGATAAATCAGAAATAATTAACAGAGGGAAGGCACTGGAATTAAGAGGGATTCCTGCAGAAGATGGGATTTTAGTTGAGACTGAAAGGAAGCCAGGGAAGTCAGTAGGTGGAGATAAAGAGGGAGTTCATTGCAGGCATGGAGGACACCAGAGAGAATGCCCAGAACTGAGAGATGGGGTTTCTGGTTCATGGGAACCACCAGGAGGCCATTATCACTGGATCAAAGAGTACATGTTGGGGTATAAAGTACAAGAAGACTGGAAAGGTAGGAAGGGACTAAGTTATGAAGAGATTTGAATGCCAAACACAACAATTTGTATTTGCTCCTGGAGACAATAGGAAGCCACTGGAATTTATTTCATAGGTGGGAGATGGGGTGTTACATGATTGGACCTGTGTTTTAGGAAAATCACTTTAGCAGCTGAATGGAAAAGGAATCTGAGTGGGGAGACACTTGAAGAAGGCAGATCCATCAGCAGGCTATTGCAAAAATCAAGGTGTAAGGTGATGAGGGCCTGCACTAGAGTGTGGGCAGTGTCAGAGGAGAGAAGGGGGCATATTTGAGAGATGTTGCAAAGGTGAAATCAGCAGGCCTTGGCAAGAGTTTGCATATGGGGGACGAGGGTGAGAAATTGTGATGAATCCAAGATGACTCCTAAGTTATGAGCCTGAGGACCAGGGAGGATGGTGTTGCTTTCTGCAGTAATAGGGAAGGGAGGAGGACAGAAAGGGCTTAGGGGGAAAGATAATGAGTTCTGTTTTAGACACAGGGAGTTTGCAGACATAAAGTCTGAGATGTCTGAAAGACAGTTGGAGATAGGAGATTGGAGATCCACAGAGAGATTTGGAGCATGAAAGATGGATTTGAGAATCATCAGTATAATTAGATCTGTGGGAGGTGATGCAATCACCAAGAGAAATAGTATAGAGGGAGAAGAGAAGAGGGCTCAGGACTTAATCCTGAGGGCCACCTATAGTTAGAGGGCATGATCTGGAGAAGATCTAGTAAAGAAGCAGTCAGAGAGGTAAGAGGAGAACCAGGAAAGAAGAGTATCCCAAAACCTAAAGAGGAAAGAGTATCAAAGAGGAGTGATCGACAGGGTCAAATGTTTTAAACAACTCTATTCTAATTAAATTTGAAAAACAATTATAATTTTAAAACCGCATTAGGGTAATTGTTTTTGACTACGTAATATGCCAATTGGAGTCTACATTGCTTTATTCTCCATAAATCATTTCTTAGAAACTAAAGGTTCAGAAATTTGGAAGGATGTTATGAAACAGATTATGGTATTTGAATGAGCAAAAAATAGTTTTCCTCAAATAATAGTTCACGGGATGACATTGACATTATCATAGCATATTCAAAGTTCAAAACACTGACCACTGCATCCAAATAATACACCTTTCCTAAGCTCCATAATACAGCCTATTAATTCTATAACAATTACTGATACTTTATGAGAGGAATAAAGCTCAAAATGCCCTAGAAAATTAGAAATGGCCCCTTAAAATGAGATGAAACTAAGTAAGAAAGAGTCAAAGAATTATCCACTTAAGGGACAACCCTCTCCCCAACAAATAAGAGGATTTCCTCAGCTCTAAAATGAGGAGATGAATTCAGTTTCTAATGTTCCTTACAGTCATACTAATCTGTGATTCCATAAGGATACAGAAGGACTGGCTAGGCAGATACATGTAAAAATCCACCTGAGGGTCATTGGCCACGAGCTTATTGTGAGTTGGCAATGAATAATTTTTTTTTTTAAAGTCAGCATTATAGTGGAGTGCATTAAAGGGCACATTTGAACAAAAGGGCCAGGAAATCATCTTGTATTTCATTCCCTCTTTCCTACTATGATCAGCATGAGATTATTAGATCCCATTTTACTTAGGGCAACAAAGTTGATTGGAGTAGATAATTGTTTGAAGACTAAGGAGTGACTTGATCGCTGGCTTTGAGTATAGAAGGGTTTTTTATAAAGGGGAATGCTGATCAACTCTCTATTCTATACAAAACAGAACCAGATAAAACTGCCAACCTAAAGTAAGAAACTTTTCAGAGCCAGGTGAGGAAAAATTTCTCACCTGCCAAGATGATAAAACACTGGTGTAGATTACCAAGGGAGGTTATGGAGTCACTGGCCCTACCGATCTTTAACAGTAGATACCTCTCTTGGATGGTTTAGATATTCATCTGTCAGAGATAAAGGGGCAGGACCCATTGATCTCAGCATAATACTGAATTGACTGCATTTTCCCAAATACCAATACTTTTATTGAAATTCTATTTTTAGTCAAGTTATACAAGATAGCTCATTTTAAAATACCTCCTTTCAAACCATACTGCATTAAATATGACCTGTTTTCAGGGGGCCATTCAGTAGTTAAATATCATTTTGGTTACTTTTTAACTATGCTCGTGTGATTTCAAATGTCATTTCTGCATTATGAGGGAAATGCCCCATTTTCTCTCTTCCCTTAAAGTTAAAATAATATTATAAAAACATAGTTTGCACAAAGTAAATGTCAATTGATTGGAAAACGACAGAATAAATTGTGGTCCATTAATGTAACGGAATATAATGGCACTGTAAGAAATGGTTTTGTTGAACTGGGATTTTTTTCCTCTTTCTCTTCAAATATTTATTGCTAAAGAAGGCTGACTGGGTAATTTAGGGAGTCGGGGAGAGATATATTAAGAATCACAAAATCAAAGAATTTGAGAGTTGGAAGGGACCTAAGCAGCCACCTAGCTGGGCAGCCTTTAACTGGGCAAATAGGTGGCACAGTGGAGATAGAGTGTTGGACTTGGAGTCAGAACGATTTGAATTCAAATCCTGCCTCAGGCACTCCCTAACTGCATGACACTGGATAAGTCACTTCTCCTCTCTCAGACTCGGTTTTCCTCAACTGTAAAAAGGGTATAATAACACCTACCTGTTGTAGAAATCAAATGGGATAACATATATAAAGTGTTTTGCAAACCCTGAAGTGTTACATAAATGGTAGCTATTATTATTTTTAGCTAACTAGCTATCTGTACATGCAAAGAATCCCTACTATAACCTACCTGACAAGTGGCCTCTCCACCTTGGCTCAAAGGAGGAAGAACTCTCTGCCTCCTGAGGCAGCCCATTCTCCTTTAGGATGATTGCAAAGGTTAAGACTTTTTTTCCTGACATTGAGTCTAAATTTGCAACTATAACCTCTTGCTCCTGGCTCTGTCCTCTGAGGTCAAACAGAAGTCTATTTGCCTTCCACATGACAGTCCTTCACAGATACTTGAAGACAGCTATGTCTCCCCAGAGTCTTCTCTGCTCCAGGCTGAGCATCCCCAGGTACTTCAACAGATAAAATGAAGGTGATGTAAAAACAGAAGCTATCAATGAAAATAAGATTAAAAAAATAGCTTCCTCTTACAGCTAGCACTTAACTGGGAATCACTTCAGTATGTCAGTGAATAAGTGAACCTATGTGACCCCTGTTACCTTGTTACTACCTTTGGTCCATTTTGCGCACAGTTCCTCCCTCAAGGGTTCATTAGGAACAATGGAGACAAAAGGTAATGGGGGAGAAGGCTATCTGGCCCTCCTGAAAGTCACTGTGATGATTATCCCTCTTTGAACTGACCATTATTTCCTGTTGTTTTCCTGATTCTTTGTCTTGGTTTGCTTTTGCTCGTCCTCTGCAGGTCAAAACTTGCCTCTTGCTGTGATGCCACGCACAACCTTGTCATTTCTCAAAATAACACTCCACTTGGGAGTAACATGAGTTATGAAGCAGAGAGGGCCAGCTTCCCTATTGAAAAGGGCATTTTTCGAATGCTGCCAGTGGTAAGTGAAGTCGGTTAGTGGGTTGTTTGGAACATAATACAAAGCTGAAAGGTTTTAAAACATTAAGTCAGAGTTTAAACTAAATGAGCAATCATGTACGAGTAATAGTATTGCCTGCTAGATTTAAGGTGGACAATTTTTTAAAGGCATTTTTTAATGCTCAGTGGATATGTTGGAAACACTTTTATGTAGCTTAAATAATTCTAAGTTTCCCTGTCCTCTAATCTTACTGCCTCATCACTCTTGAATAAGATGGGTCAGTTGGGACTTCCCTTGAAGCTCATGGATCTTTGGGTCACTATCTTGTGCAGTGGAAGTAGCCTTTTTAAATCTGAAATGGGCTTCTCCCTATTTCCCATGCTGGAAACAAAATCACACCTTGCCCAGAGAACTGTAAATTTATATTCTTTGTCTTGCTTTTATTCTGGAAATTGAAGATGGAAAACTTGGCAGCTCCCAGTGAATGACTATCAGATTACCACCTTTCTTATACACTGCCCTTCCAGGTAATAGGTTGTAAGAAACTGTAAATTCAAGTTTAGATCCAAACTTAGCTTTTCAATAAGGAGGAAGTTTGTCTTAGAAAACATCCTCTTCTACTGCCGACACCTATACACACACGTGCACACAAAAGCAAGCTAGCAGCTACTATGCTTTAGTGAGTCTAGGCCTTATGCTAGGTACAAAAAAAAAAATGTTTCTACCCTCGAAGAGTTTATATGCTATTGGAAGAGATAGTATGAACATACACGAGCACAAACATGCAGGCACACTCACAAATACACATGCTGGTGTGTGCAACACATTCCACAACTCTAGAGATTGCTCTAACTTCTTCCAAGCGCCAGAGACTACAAACCTTTGGCAAGCCAAGTTTGAGGCTACTATATGCCAGCCCAAGGAAGTTAGAGTCAGTTTACCAACCTCAAAGCCACCTCGAGCCAAGTTCTAGTTTCCTTAAAACCTGCTGCTCCTTAGGAAAAAGGAGAACATTGCAAATATCTGAACCAGAGATAACCCAGGGTCAGGGAAATGCTAGAGTGAATCCCAGACCATAACAGGTGACTTGGCAAATGGAGAGAAGGGAGTAACAGAGAAGAAACAGAGAACTTTGGAGGGGTTGACAGAGTCATAACTTTCTGCCTGTAACTGGTTCTATTTACTTCACTCTAGGATGGTTAGGACAAAGTATTTTATCTGTGAGTTGGTCCTGAATTCAGAGCAACTCGTAGCTATCTCAATGCACAAATAAATAAAAATATCCATTTTCAGATAGTGTTAATCATTAACAGCAGACCTACGGTATTGATTACTGCCAGAGGAGGATACAGTACTCTAAGGAAGCTGACCAATTAAAGAACTACTCCTTTCCAAGAGAATTGTTTAGTAAGTCTGGTAGGGCTCAGGATGAGAGGAGGAGCAAGTCTAGGGTGAATTGATGGGGGAACCGAGAAGGAAGAAAAGAGAAAGTTCTTCATACAAAACCAAAATTATTCCTTGAAAAATTAATTTGAAATAGTTCAGCACATAGTAGTTTTCATCCTTGAAACTTTTTTTTACAAGATGGGTATTTATATATCTGATGGCATAATTGAGCCTAAAGATCTCATTCAGGAATCATACCTGCCTTTTACTAGATAAAAATCAATTTTATGCCTAGAAGTAGAAGAGTGTTTAACAAGTTTTATTTATCACCCTATCTTAGCATTTTTTGGAGCTTAGGAAAAAAAAGTTTTCTCCCTTCCTGCTCTATTTACATAGTAATAAATAATGCCAAATCTTATTTCTCTCAGGAAAAACCCATCCATCTAAAACTGTGGTTCTTCTTAAATCTCTAAGCTGGTTGTTGGTATTTTCTCACAACCATTAGCTCACTCTGCACACCATATTCTATTAACCTCCTACAGAGTTAAGCTACAAGCTCTGAACTGATGACATTTGTGAGTCTACAACTGAAAAAAAAATGTTCTCCTTTGTAACTTCCTTTTAACAGTCACAACCATTTGTGGGACGTCCCTTTAATCAATGTGCAGTGGTTGGAAATGGGGGAATCCTGAGGAACTCTATATGTGGAGCTGAAATAGATAAATCTGACTTTGTTTTTAGGTAAGAATGTCCGTATCCTGATCTTTGAATCCAAAAATGTGCTTAAATGTTGAGCATTTTCCAGAGGGCAGCATCAAGATGATACAGTCTGAAATTTGTTCAGTATATGTGTACCATGGTTTAATTTTCAGTTCTAAAAAGATCCAGACATTTGGCAGTCACATGATATTATCCTTTGTTTAAGTCAATCTCAATAAATGCACATAAGAATTCTGTAACCATAGGACTTGAAATTTTCCTGCAAAACCCAAAATGAACCAGTAGATGTGTTCATCATTTTGATAGGATATGCTACAAAATACTTCACTTCCCTACATATGCTGAGGTGGTGACTCGTCCACCTGGGGAGACCTTATTTTGACTAAATTATCGACCTTTTTCAAAATAAGGAGAAAGTCATATTTTTCGTATCAATCGTGTCATTTTTAAATGAATACTTTTTAGATATTATAAGAGTTATTGTAAGCTTATCAATTTTATCTACCTCTTTCAAGCAAATGAAAACTAGATGCTTTCCCATAAGCACGTCCCCTGTGATTTTAAATCTTATTTATAAATGTTGGACCAAAGGTGGTGTCAGTATTCCTGACAGCCCTACAATTACTGAATGAGTTTTTTTATGATTAATGGTCAGTATATTAATGATGTAGTTATAACTTCTAACCGCCCAATGGAGGAGTAGACAAATATAGCTAGGAGCCTAGCAACAAAGGTGAACCCTGCCTGCTTATATCTACACCTACCCTATATAAGGGAGAATAACTGTGCAAGAGTAGCAATGAAGGACAGTACTGATATATCTGTCAAATTAGCTAGAATTATGGATATAAAGAGTTTAGAAGCAAAGGCCAAAGGAGGTGCACCAGGATGATACAACTGCCTAGGGGTAGTGATTTGGGCCTCCTGGGATCTCTCTCTCATGTCTTTGTTGTATATGTATCTAAATCAATTAAAAGAGTGTATGGTATGTAAGGTGAGTGTTCCCTGGATATTTCTGTGGGTCCACAGCCATGTCCTTGATCTTCTCAAGAGCTCAGACACATTACAAGTCAAAAAGAGGAGCTTAGCAGATTTAGTCTAAGAATGGCTTATCTGACTTCTTAAAGTTGAATCCACTCCTCAGTTCTTAGTAAGGGATATTCGCCCTATGATCATTGGGATAGGAATACCTTATACCACAACATTTATGGGACATTTACAGAATATGGAGAGATTGTAGGCAGCAAGCAAAGAACTGCTAAAGGCTTCTGCTTCCATAGAAGCATATAATTACTGCATACTGGCCACTGCTAACCACACATCCTGTTCCACTGCATTATTCTCTCTGTTATTTGAAATCCAGCTTATTTTCTTTGGTGGCAATTCCTAGATTCCCCCTTTTCAGTAACTCAGCACCCCTGCTTCACTGGACAGATCCTCATGGGAATACAAGTCATAAAATGTTAGTGTTAGATGACCTCAAAGAACATCTAGTCCATCCTGTCTGTACCTGAGAAGTCCTCTTTATAAGACACCTAACAAATGCTCATTCAGCCTCTGTTTAAAGACTTTCAAGGAGGAGGAGTCTAGTAGTTATAATAAGTAGCAATTGACATTTGTATGCGCTTTTAAGGTTTGATAAGCTCTGTGCCTTCTATAAATCATTTGATCACTACTTCCTCCCAAGGCAGCTCATTAGATGATGGATAGATAGATAGATTGATTGATTGATTGATAGGTAATGGATGGTAGATGGATAGATGATAGGTAGGTGGATAGATAGAGCATTTATTAAATGCTTATTATGTGCCAGCAGGCACTGTTCAGTGCTCTGGGAATATAAGTACTAAACAAACAAGATGGTCTCTGTCCTCAAAAAGCTTATTATATTCCATTGGGGTAAGACAACAATAAAGGGGAGCTCAAAAGTGGTGACACTGAGCAAAGAAGAGAAGAGAGAAAGGAAGGGCAAGGACAAGTTCAGAGAGAAGGTCCACACATGAGATATGTGAAGGATGGCTTGAGGTGCTCTATCCACTGCATCACCTAGCTGCTCCACCCCCTTGCCCTTGTACCTCTCCCTTCAGGTTAAGAAAAATACGTATTTTCCACTTGACAACTCTTAAAATTCTTTTTTTTTCTTTCAGCCAAAAACAAGGTTTATTAAAGATCCGCCACGTTAGCCAGACTCTTAAGGAATCGGAGCATCTGTGAGCTATTGACTAAATTGTAAAAATCTGAGCAGTGTCTAGATTAGAAAAATCAGAGCCAACTCTTAAAATTCTTGAAGCCCACTCTCACATCCCCTCTAAGTCTTCTCCAGGCGTGAATATCCCTATTTTTTTTGCAACCAATACCAATGGGTCATAGTCTCCTTTCCTATCATCATACTATCCACCTTCTTCTTGACACAGTCTAGTTTGTCAATTTCCTTTATAAAATATGGTGGGCAGAATGGAACACAGTACTCTAGATGTGGTCTGACTATGGCACAATCCTAGTGGATGGATGGTGTCCAGGCCCTGCTGCCACAGCATCTCACTGGAATTTACAAAAATACAAGTGACGACAGGCAATTACCAGGCACAAGGACAACCTGTAGGCAACAGTTATTCAAGCGATTAATTCCCATTGAGTGGCCATTGCCAGCTCCACATCTTGCTGCCATATGTTGTTAACCTCTCAATTCCTTGAATTCCAACTAGTATTTTCTGGTGACAGTTTCTGCATCTCCCTGAATCTGTAAACTTATTGTCCTTTCCCTGCTTTCTTAGTCAGGTCACTCCATGAAAAACTGGCTTTAAACTTGATCCTGTGTTGCATGAACTTTCAATAGAGGTGACTATATTATTAGTTGTTGTTGTTGTTGTTGTTTTTTTTACTGTTTTACTTTGTTCCAAGACACCTCTCACTAAGCAGGAGTAATCTGTAAGTGTATGCAATGTGAAAACAAAACACATCAATAAAACTGAAAGTCTAAAAAAAACTTGATGCTGCTCCAACATGAACCAAGGACTCTACCTCAGACTTCCAACTGAAGCAGTAATAGCTTTGCCCCAGTAACCCAAAATATTTCACATGAAAGCAAACTATAATAGAGAAAAATAGTTACTCTTACAGAAGACTTTTTGACAATTCCCATGGCATAGTTGAGGAAAATTTCTTTTTAAATTTTCATTTCATTTCACAGTAAACCTTGAAAATAAAGACATTTTAGTATAAAATTAGTGATCATTTCTCAATTTTTAAGAACAAATCAAAGGTAAAGGAGTCTGTTTCTCTAATCCACTTAGGTTTCCTCTGAAATCAGTCTGAGCATACACACTGCTCCCTTTGAAGTTAGCAATGGCTCTGAGTCCTGGACAGCTCCATGGAGTGATAATGAGAGCTAGAATAAGGGCTGCTGGAATTCTGTTAGGCTTTTTTTTTCTTTTGAAAGGTCTCTTAGAATCATCAGTTCAGAGCTTTAGAGATATAAGGTCTACTTTGGCCCAGGATAAATTTATAGAACAGTCTGGAAATTATTTTACCTCTTTTTATTTCAAAATGCTGGTGATTAGGAAGCAATTCAGCACCACCAACCAATCTATTTAGGGCTAGTGATCTTTGGCAAATCATTTAGCCTCTCCAGATCTCAGTTTCCTCATTTATAACATAAGAAAGGTTGGACTAGTTAGATGGATGCTAAGGTTATGGTGAACTTTGCCCTTTAGTTGTCCATCAGAATCACTAAATGTTATTCTATTGCCTGTCAACCTACTTGCTATTACCTCAGGGATACTGTTACTTAAGTAATTCAGTAGACTGTGATCTCATTATTGTGTAAATCATGCCCCATCCATACTTGTTAATCCTGTTTGACTTTTGTCTGTCTTTCTGAATATCCTTCATAAAGGGTTTACCCAATACTGAAAGACACTCTGTGATTCTTTAGATATTTGGTAATACCATTGAAACCTTTGGCACAGCACCATGTTATCCCTTGGCCTCTCAAAATGACCAAACTACCTCCTTTTCTAGCCAGGCATTCAAGTTTCCTTCTGACTTTTTTTTGTTCATACCTATGGAAATCCCCTCTACTGAGGCTGGTCAGCAACTTGTCTCTAACTTGGAGTCCCAGAGAGTTGCCTATGGCACTGAAAGATGAAGGAATATGTCCACCGCCATACAGTTAGTATGATCATGGGCAGGACTTGAACACAGGTCTTTCTGATGCCAAGACTGGTTTTCTTTCCACTATTACTTGAATGCAAGTTATCGTTTGTAATATGCAGCAGTCTAGTTATATCCACCAAGTATCCACTGCCCTTTCAATCTTCCTAGGTAATGATATTCAGTGTGTGTAGCCTTATCACCTGACTGGGAGAAAATTGATGTTTGAAAGTTGGACTTTTTTCACTGGCAAGCAAATTGCAGTCATTGAAAGTCCTACATCATTTCCCAAATGTGATCCAGTCCAGTCTCATCCTTCCATTTAATTAAATGCCTTTATTATTGTCCATCTCTAGAGACTGTCCAAGATGAGCTATCTGTTCACATTTTGTGATAATCGGGGTTATATACATTGTTCTTCCACTTTGTTTTTCTAGTGTGAATTACTAAACTGATCTCTTTTTAGGGCCTAGCAGTCTCAGTGAGTATTTAAGTGTTCTAGGGTTCAATTAACTTGAATTAAACAGGCATTTATTAAATGCATACTATGTGTAAGGCACTGTGCACAGTCAGCACCTCACCTATAAATATTAGCATTTGGAAAACTAGTTAATAAGGAATTCTTCATATTTGGACTTTGTGCAAGATTGAAGAGCAAGTTGGTGAACATGTGACTCCTTATTTTATTTGTCACTTGTTCCTAATACTCAGCAGATTGTTGGCCAAAGTAATTTACATGATTGAATCTGTCATGGGGCTTTGTATGTTGTTATATGCATGGATGAACCCTTGTGTGAGATGAATGCTTTGTGTTGTATTTTGCTTTACTGAGTCAACTATTCTTGAATTCAAAAGGAAATAGACATAGTCACATTCTGTGTCCTTGATATTTCTTAGCCAATCGTATTAGTATGAAGATATAACCTATAAAGTCATCTCCAAAAGACTATTTATTCCCTTCTAGTATTTTCGTCAAGGATACTCTTAATTCATTTATAGACCATTCTTGCAAGTATTTTAGAGAGCTGAGAAAGTAGACAGCTGTGTCAATAGTTACTGATGGCTTTATAACTGATGTTTGTTAAAAGTACTTTCTAGAATCCTTTTTATTCTTTTGGAATATGTCCTTCATTGATGTATCTTAAAAATTGCTCCTCACATTTCTTCAGAACTAATCCCTGCAGTATAGATTTCTTTTCTGTGCATTTGGTCTAGTCCTAACTGTCTTCCTGATGTCATTGTCTTAAGTGCCATCAATGCTTCCTCGCTAAATACATTAGCACTGAGATGATGGTATCCAAGTCAAGTCACTAAACATTTATTAAGTGCCTACTGTATCCCAGGTACTATATAATGGTTCCATTATCATCACTGATAAAGATAGATTGTTATGGAAATGTCAGCAAATCTATTCCATTTCCTCTCTTTTTGTGGCCTCCTTAGAGATTAATCTACCAATATTCTAAAGGAATTTTGGCCTGGCTGGGGCTCAGATCAAAAACTCTGCAGGTTCATTTTTAACTCAACTAAGTCTCACCATTTTTTGAATCAACATCACTCATACTTTTCCACGTTTCACGGATGTGCTTGTATTCTGAACCAGTATGGCCCCTGACTGCCGTGTCTCTCTGTTTCTCAAAGAGATCAAGTATTGGCTAGCTAAGATATTTTCTGGTCTGATTTGGCCTCCTTGTTGTGGTGCAATATTTTGCACCACTTAAACTTCTTTAAGGAATAATGATAGAATCAATGCCTTTTGTTCATCTATAACTTTTCAGAGTTAACAATTCTTTTAAACAGGTTGGGTTGGAATTACTGCAATTGAACATGGTGTCTTCTCCTCTCTAGTCTTCTAATTTAATGTTGGTTTGGACATTTGTCCTAACTCATGAATGATTTGACCATATTCTTATATTTATTGCTTACTGTGTCCACTCCCTCGTTCATTTCTTTTTAAAGATGATATTGATGTTTTACAGGAGTGAAGCTTCTGAGTAGTTTGAAAGCCTCGGTTCTCTTGATCTCATGCTATCAGTATATTTTTTTGTCATTCTCCCTTGTGCCCACCTTTGCCTTGAAGTCACCAAGGATCAGAGTATAGGTTGCCTCCATTTAGATAATCTTGTCATAGTCTTTAATAGCTTTCCTTTCCTTCTTCCTCTACAACAGCTTTTAGAACATAAGCTACCATCCTGAGATTGTCTGTGGTAGCCAAACTGCTTATGTACATCATCTGTGTATAATGCAAGATGACTAAATCTCCAATGAAATGCTATTTTTTGGTTATCTTTGGGTCCAAGGTGAAACTAATTCCATGAATTCATCATTTCTTTGCCCCTCCTAAGAGAACCTATGAGCTTTCCTTTCATCTAGCTGAAATGGATTTATGTCTCTTAGTTTCATTTATTGCAAGAATGCCAAAATGAATATCATCCAGTTCCTCCAAGTGGTATATCAACTTGTTTATCTTTGTACAAATTTGCACATTAAGGCTGCCAACAGTTAAATTAATACATGCAGATAGTACAAGAATTTGATGATTCTTAGTAGCCTCTGCTACCTTTTCAGTGACTTTACCACTGCTGTAACAAAAGGAAAAGGGGTCTACACAGAACTGGGTATTTTGTGTTTTTATCAATTTTATTTATTATCAGTTTCCTATGTAATTTTGACCAAACAATAACCAAGGGGCCAAGAGTCCTGGAAATCAGCTTCTCTGTACTCATCTAGGCTGATACTTGAACAATACATGCCTCCTTTTGTTGGGCCCACCCTTAAAACTGCCCTGGCTTTGTAGGGCCGGCCAGGGCTTGCACTCTGAATGAATGGCCTTTTGAGAATCCAAGGTCACCTCTATGCTGTGATAAATCATTAGAGTGGGAATTTTCTGGAACATCCTGGCACAGTGCCATGTTGGAAACAGGTCTTGTCTTCATCTTTCCACAAGAAGTTGGACTAGCAATGAACAGTAGATTTTCCTCGAGAGGTATGCTCGCCAGATCCATTACTGTCTCTGCCATCCGTTACTAAAACTTCCCTTTCCCTAAGGTGTCCCATTTTATTGCCATGGCATTTTGACAGTTGCCAGAAGTACTGCTGTCAGGCAGACCTGCCAAGTGCTGGCCAGCTGCTGAAATCACAAACGGAGCGCAATGAGTCACAGATGTGGTTAGTTAATGCTGCCAATAGCCCACCCCTCCTGCACCAGTTGCTGTGCACAGCAAAGTCTTAAAGGCTTGTGTTTTTTTATAATCCATACCTCTTACAATTGAGTTCAGTGGACATTTATTAAGCACCTACTATGCATTATGCTAAGAAGCAGAAACGAAATAGTCCCAGCTATCAAAGAGTTTACATTCTTCTGTGGAAATAGCTGCTATCTATCTATCTACTCAGACATGTAAATATACAAAGTAATTTGGGAAGTGGAGAGCAATGAAAACCAGGGGAAGCAGAAAAGGCTTTGGGTAGGAGGCGATACCAAAGCCAAGCCTTGAAGATAGGTATTATTATTATTTCTATTTGTACAGATGAGAAGACAGCCTCAGAAATATGGAATGATGTGCTTAGGGCCACACAGCTAGGCTCTGACCCAGATATTCCTGACTCCAAGTCTAGTATGCCAGTTGAAAGCAGCGTATTTTGCTATAAGAAAAATCCAAGTTAGTACTGGTGCGCCTTTGTGCTAGAGTTTCATAAATATGGAGGGTGGTGACATGGGAGCCTCAAACATAGTATGGTTAAAGATGTAAAATTCAAACAACGTTTTCCAAAGCTACCAAGTGGCTCTCTATATTCGTTAAATAAAGGTTTCAAGATTTGTTGTACTTGAAAGTCAATAAATAGCGCTAGATATTCTTTACCCCACTTAAAATATGAAATAGACAGTGGGAAAGATAAAATTAACTGCAAGTTTAAAATTTTAATTTTTTTTCTTTGAATTCTAGTGGGTCTGTGGTGTCTAAAGTGTCAATGTTCTCTTCATTGATGGAGGTCACAATTCATCCCTCGGGCAAATCTTGCCCTTGTTTTCCCATATGACTTCCATTGAGGATCTATCCAATGCATTTCTGGTTCAATTAGTACCTTAGGGGTACAAACAGAACATTCTGACTTTCTATCTGTTCTTTCACATTCTCAGCCCACAGCCAGCCCCATTTCCTTTTCTACCACTTCTTGAACAATTCATTATAAGTAACATAATGGCTAGGCCCGTCTATGCTCACCACTGAAATATGAATGAGAACACCAGTATGTCTGTTCATGGTGACTTAGAATTGATTTTTGGAAGGGGGAAAAAGTCTCATCTGGGGGGAAAAAACCACGAGTCTGATGAAAGCAAATGAGATTGCTAATTAAAGTATTTAGAGCCACAGGGTATGTTGGCACACAGCTATAGTCCTTGTTACTGGAGAAGCTGAGGCTGGTGGCTTGCTTGAATTCAGGGGTTCTAAGTGGCGCTAAAGCCAATTTCATTGTCCTCACTAAGTCTGACATCAATATGGTAAGGCCCTAGAATTGGGTCAGGGCCATCAGGCTGCTTAAGGAGAGGCAAACCAGTCCAGGTCAGAAGTGCAGCAGATCAAAGCTTTCCTGATGACCAACAGTGGGGTCAGACTGTGAGTGGCCGCCGTACTTCCAGGAAGATCCAGTCTCCCCAAAAAAGTGTTCGGAATCTTTCAATAGTCAACATATGATTGTTATTCCAGTTCTTCTCCCTTCACCCTTATCTCTTTCAATTTTGCTTATTGCTTACACTTCACACTTTGTTTGATATAAATAAAAGTTACTATAATCCAAAGCATTTGTAAGTCACTCTGTAGTCTAATGTAAAGTTGCTCTTGAAAGAGTTTCTAATTTAAGTAAAGTGAAGTTTGGGTGGCCCCCATATATACTCTTTTGTGAGAAAGTAAAGATATTATAGATTTCCTATTTTATAATGTTTTAAAAATAATTTTTCCCCTAAATTTCAGATGTAATCTCCCCCCAATCACAGGAAATATTAGCAGAGACGTTGGCAATAAAACCAATCTGGTCACTGTTAATCCCAGCATCATTGGACGGAAGTAAGTACCATTACACTTGATTTTTTTCCTTTTTTTATTTAAATATTTTACCATTTTTATAAGCATTTCTTTTCTCTCCCTCTCACCACCACCTCCTAATTGGACAATGATTAAAAAAGAAAAACCAAAACCCTCATAACAGTTATATAATTTTTCAAAAAAAATTTTTTTGTAAGAACATTTTTTCATGGTCTATTACATCAGTCTTTGGCCAGAGTTTGCTTGGGGCTGGGTGATAATGGTAGGAATGCCCCAGTGGCCCTTTCTGAATATGGACAAAAATAAGTAGGACTTTTTTGATGTGATTCATTAGTTGTTTTTTCATAAAGGTTTTAGATGCAATTTTATTCTGACTTTATAGGCTGGAGGCAGCACATGGTAAGGGAGAGAGAGCTGATTTGGGAGTCAAAGGACCTGAGTTCAAAACCTATCTCTCCCACAAGCTATTTGTGTGATATATGGCAGATTTTTTCTGGGCCTCAGTTTCCTCATCTGTAAAATTATGGAGCTGGACTCGGCAACTTCTGAGGTCTCTTCCAGCTCTCAAATATGTGATCCTATGATTAAATGTAGCTCATACAAATGAAAATGAGTTCATTCTTTTTGATAGTGATGGTATAATGTTGTTGTCATCAACTTTCATATATACTTTGAGCCCAACTTTTCATCTTGTAAACATTTTCCCTAAAGGCAGCATGGTACAGTTCTGCATTTGGTGTCAGAAAAACATGGATTCAAATCCTACCTCTGACATTCATGAATGGTATGATCCTGGACAAGTCAGTTAACCTTATTTCTCTCAGCTCTTGTTTCAATCATACGACAAATCTACTAAGACATCAGTAGGAGTTCTGCAGGCTGAAAAAAATGACAAATCCTTTTAATGTTCCTCTAATTCAGAAAATTCTTTATTTAAAAGCCTCATTTTGTTCTGGGACACAATATTTAGAAATCATACCATTAAAGCCAAAGATTTTTTTGTCCACGTTTTAAAACTTTTCTTCTCCTTTCTTTCCCCTCTGCCATTCATCCAAAGTTACACAAGCATCTCACTCGGGCTAATTCTCCCAGTGCCTTGGCAATTCTGTTCATTGCTCATCTGTTAGGTGTCTTTAGAGATGTCATTAACTCTGATTTTAGACCACCAGGAGACTGGGTTGCACACTGATGCTGTCACAGCTAGACATAGTAACTTTCCAGCCAGAGAGTGAGCCTTGAAAGACTCAGGCAAAACAAATCCCGGTTTCCTCTTAGGTTTGTTTATACTTCAAAACAATTTGCATGCTTTCCCTATAAAGTTTAACTACTAGAAAATGTTGTTGATTGATTGACTAAAATTCAAAGTAGAGAGTAAGTTCTATAGAATCAACCTTTACTCTCTCATTTATCCTCTCACTATTTAATACTCACTTGGATCTATAATTGGATAACCAATGTGGGCATTATTTCCAAAGACGTAGCTCCACATTGTGCATGTATGATTCTTCTCTTCCCATAAGTTGGCCACAGGACACCCACCCAGTATGATGAGGGCCTTCCTCACAAGCTTTTCTTGACATCACAAGGATGCCAGTGAAGCCCACAACTTTTCCATTGGTTATCTCTCACTACTATTCGTCGACCATTCCATCTTTGTAGCCAATAGGCTTCTTAAATGACAGTCTGCACATCACTTCTCTTTCAGAATTCATGGTTTGTAATATGTTACAGCCCTATAGTGCCCATTGTACACATCGCCATTGCCCTTTGGGAGACCCTTTGCATCATCTAATCTTGTTTGTTAATTAAGTTTGAACAAGAACATAGAGGAACAAATGAGGTTCTGCTATTTGTTCTATGAGAGCTTGAGTTTTGAAACAGACAAGAATCCGTGTAGGTAAAACCTATACGTAGCAAGATATATTCAAGCTTTTAGAGATATCGTATAACCCTAGAGGAAACAGGATAAAGTTATTTGTGATTACATTTCAAAGTTAAGAGTGTGTTAAAGTGATGTTTTCACCTATCTATAGGTGGAGCACCTAAAATTGTTGGAGGTGAGATAAATGATTTATTGAACGGTATATTGAGGAAAGGTTCATGAGAGAAGGGGAATTTAGAAATTATTTCAATATGGTCATCTCATAGGGAGAAGTTGGATGGCACAGTGGATAAAGAGCCTGCCTCACAGCCAGCCTCCCACCTAAGGGCAGTCCTGCCTCTGCCCTGTACTGACTGTGTGTACATCCTTAGGGCAAGTCACCTAATCTCTCCACATTCTAAGCAACCCTCCAGAGACTATAAATTATACAGAAAAGGGATTGCTTACTATGTGCTAAGTACTTTGCAAATATTATCTCTCCGAATGTCACAACAACTCTGTGAAGTAGGTGCTGCTATTATCACCATTTTACAGCTGAGGAAACTGAGGCAGACAGAAGTTAAAGTGACTTGCCTAGGGTTGCACAGCTAAGAAGTTTTTGAAGCTAGATTTGAACTCAGATCTTCTGATTCTAGACCCAGTACTCTATCCACTGTTGACACGTAGGTGCTGACCTAACAAGGAGTGCCTCCTACCATGAAATTACAGGTCCAGACCATGTCCTTAGTCTATCATCTAATAGGATCGTTCAGCTTGGGAGGAGGGAAGAGGTAGAAAGTGCTTTCCCCCAGGATATCTAAGAAGTCAGGTAAGGAAACAGAATGAAAAGTCTAAGAACTCTGACATGGATAGATGAACGTCCTTGCTTTTGACAGTGAGCACGCAATCGACTCTAATTAATTTTCTTTAAGTCTATTTTATGCCTCATTTGTTATTCATTAATATAAATGTTCAGTGTCTAAGTCAATGAAAAAAAGTCTAAAGGGTTACTAAAGTGACCAGTTTTCGTGGTCATGTTTTGTTTCATTTTGTTTGGTCAGGTATGGTGAATTAAATGTAAATAAATCAGCGTTTCTGAACAGCATCGCAACCTATGGAGAGGCATTCCTTATCCTGCCAGCATTTTCCTTTAGAAGAAATACTGATGTCTCTTTTGAAGTGTACCACACACTCCACGGCTTTAAAGCCAAACAGAAGGCTATATTTTTTCATCCCAAGTACCTGAAAAGTCTTGCCCAGTTCTGGAGAACTAAAGGTGTGAACGCATTTCGTTTGTCCTCTGGCTTAATGATCACAAGTGCTGCCATTGAACTATGTGAGAATGTGAAGTTGTATGGATTTTGGCCTTTCTCCAAGACCACAAATGACACCCCCATCAGCCATCACTACTATGACAATGAATTACCGAAACCTGGTTTCCATGCAATGCCCATAGAATATAGAGAAATTCTCCAGCTTCATGGGAAAGGTGTCCTCAAGCTACAATTTAGTAAATGTGAAGCAGCTTAAGCAAGGTAGGTCACAGTGTCTTAATTTAAGATTAGGGTTGGTGGAGTTTTTGTTCGTTTGTTTGTTTTTCGTTTTTTGTTTTTGTTTTTTAGGCAATCGGGATGAAGTGACTTGCCCAGAGTCACAAGGCTCCTAAGTGTCTGAGGCTGGATTTTAATTCTGGTCTTCTGCCCCCTTAACTTAAGGGAGAAAGAGCTTGAATTTGAGTCAATATTTAAATCAGAGCATTCTTCATATTCATGAGATCCATTCTTCCTCAGTAAGCAAATAGCATACATCCACAGAAGTGGAAAGTAAATAACTAGAGAAAAAGGACATTTATCTTTGAAATTCCAAGCTCTCCCCACCCTGCATTCACACACCTTACTTCTTGCCCCAGTCAGAGAACAATTGAGCATCCTGTGTTTGGGGGCTCATTTTGCTATCCAATTGTGAGTATATTCTCTCCCTCTGTCTGTGTCTCACAAAGGGGAGAGCATTTTAGTAAGACCCAATGACTTATACATGAAATGTGCCTCCTAGTGGAGGGGACAGATATTACTTAAGTTAATCTTGTTAACTTGTGGTCGCCCCCATTGTCAAGCAAACATTTAGGCCAGGGGTGGGGAACCTGTGGCCTTCTAGGTCCTTGGGTGTGGCCTTTGGACTGAGTCCAAGTTTACAGAACAAATCCTTTTATTAAGGAGATTTGTTCTGTGAAGTTTGGATTCAAAGGGCTGCACTTGAGGACACTGAGGACCACTTGTGGCCTTGAAGCTGCAGGTTCCCCATGCCTGGTTTAGGCTTTCTCCTTGCTCCTTCTAGCCTTCTTTCTAGCTATGCTTCTCCCATTTTCTTCTTCTCTTCCCCTTAGGGGATTTTAGCCAAGGGATACAGTAAAACTGAAATCACAGAATTAGAGAGTTGGAAGGGACCTTTACAGCTGTTTCATTCAATCCATACCCAAAAGGAATGCTCACTAGAACATACCAACAAGGCAGTTCCTTGTCCTTTTGGATATGTCATTGTTAGGAAATTTTTTGCTAAATCTTGAACGTTTTGTGTTTGAGCTTATCTTCTAGGAAACTCTAGATAAATATTGTTTACAGAGTGACCTCCCTATCCCCTATTTCTTCATCTGTGAAATAGGGTTTTAATAATGCTTGTCCTACCTTCCTCATAGGAGCATCAGTCAGATACTCAGATGGATCTCTGAACTTATCAGTGTGGACAGACCTTCCATGCCTGCACTTCCTAGATGTCTCATGTCGTGAAACAACCCATAAGAACAAAATGATCTGTATGATCAAAAAGTGGATTTTAAAAGCTATACAAATAGTTTATTAATACTTGTAAAAATCCTTGATTTCATTAGTGTGAGTACTCTTCCCTCTCATACAGATAAAAGTCTCTCAACACCTTGGTGGATAGTTTCTTGAATTGTTATGGTGCCCAAAACCTCATCACCTTGTGGACAGCTTTCTCTTAATGAGACTCTCCTTGGACGACATGCACACAATCCATTGCCAAGCCCATATTAAAAATATTGCCCACTTCAGAAAGCTTCATTTGCATAACCCTTGAGAATGCAGGATCACCTCTATATCACCAAGAGGCATCAGAATAGGTCTTCATTAGAATTTATTACTTTTGTTGTTACTATTATTAATCAGGAACCCATTGACTAAGATGTTGGACTACATTTTTTTAATGAGTGAAACAACTATATTTTTCATAAAAATCACCAGTGAATCCATGAACATTTATCAAGTTCCTACTATGTACCAGGCACTGTTAGGTGCTTGAGGTACAGAGACAAAAAAGAGATAGTCGCTGTTCTGAATTAATTTATGTTCTGTTTGGGAAGACAGCATATACGTATATAAGCTTACAGAGGATAGAGGCTGAATCTGTGGCTTCATTGGAATTCATGGAGGAGGAAACTCCCTCTCCTAATGCAGGTTGGTGTTTTCTCCATAACTTATAGCTTTAGGGAGTTGCCTAGAACACTGAAAGGCTAAGTCACTTACCCTGAATCACATAACCAGCATGTACTAGAGACAGGACATCAGCCCAGGTTTTCCCAACCCTTAAATTAGCACTCACTCTATTATGCCATACTGCCTCTCATATAAGTACAGAAATATGTTTTATACAGAATTATTATAAAATGTACACAAGGTAGTTTGGGGAGGGGGTAGTTTGGGACACTGGCATTTGAAAGGACCTGAAAAGCCTTCATGTAGAAAGAAAGTCGTGCTTGATCTGATTCTTGAATGAAGTAAGGGGATCTGTGTGATGGAGGGGAGGAGGACGAACACCAGTTTCATATATGTGTGTTCACTAGACAAATGGGAATTTTAAGAGATTATAACCGCAGAAAAATTCTCCCACCAAACCCTGAATACGGGTGTTAGTTCTTGTTAGCACGATATTCTGAGGGCATCATTGGTCCTTTAACTGACAATTACCCTCTTGGAGAATTTGGAGGCAGACTATGGGACTAAATTTGACAAATTACTAATGCAGCCCAAGAGCTAAGCCAGAAAGGAAGAGATTGCCCTTTGTAAAAGAGAGAAGATCAAAGTGTTCTGATAAGTGAATTCTCTGATTTTTTTCATGTTATGAGCCAGTGATTTATTCCACCCATGTGACATTTTCCGGGAAAGTATTTGGAACAGATATAATTGAACCAAGACCAGCGTCCAATGTTTATAATCTTTTTGGGCATCTTTCATCATTTGGGCCAAGTACTGTCAGTACCCTAGGGGGTCAGGGGATTAAGTATGTGTACGTATATCATGCCAAAAAAAAATGACCATGAAAACAATTTGTTCTGGTGTAGTAGTTTTGTGGCATACTAATTCTCTCAGATTTTAATAAGCCAAAGAGATTGGGTAATAAAAAAAATTGAGTTTTCATTTTCTGATAAAAATTAATTCTCACACATACTCACAGGTGCTCACCATTGTCATCACAAGTAGAATGAAATGCTCTTGTTGTTAAATAATGGTTAGGTGAATAGTCTTAACTAAGGTTTGAAAAACTTTCTGGGGCTTGAATTATCAACGCGGAAGCACCGACTTCAGACCCCGACTTTGCAGCCACTCTGGCTGATGTCAATGTCAGCACGGAATGGCTCTCTGTTAAATAATTGAGCTGTGTAGCTCCTTGGGCCAGTAGGTAAATCTAGCTATTAGGCAGCCTTTGTTTTCTCTGGGAAGTAGAAACAAGGAGAGCCTCAGGGACATACTCTCAGATGCAGGCTTAATTAGCCTAGCCTGACAACACAGCTTACCCTTGGCTGCCCGTTTAAGCAATCTGACCAATTCGTGCCAGGCTCCTAGTTCTGGTATGCTGCCCGCAGTGAAATAGAGGCTAACATAGTGCCCCACCAGCATTGGTCTAGGGCACTGGTCCCCGAAGTGTGAGCCATGGAAGGGATGTGGGAACAGCTAATCAGAGAATGGAAAGATGAGTCTCATCCCACGCTCCCTATAATAGCCAATCACAGATTTAAAGCTACAAGGGACCTTAATAGTCAATACCTGTAACTCCCTCATTTTACTGATGAGGAGATGGCTGGAGAAGTGAAGTGACTTACCTAGGGCAAGTTATTAAGGAGTTATTAAGTGCCTCAGGTGGGACGTGAACCCTGACTCCCAAGTCCAAAACTCTATCCACTACATTACAGTGCCTTCTACCATGAAGCTTACCTCCAACACAACCATAGCTACCCATACCTCCTCAACTGTGCCCTACCTGTGCTACGCAAGCCCCTACAATCCCCCTCTCACCTTCTGAGCCAGGAATTGGCCACTCAGAAGGGTTTTAACTGAACTACTATGAGTTCACCCATAGCAGCCACAGTACAGGTGCCAATGGAAAAATTCCCAGCTCTTCTCCACCATATCCACCCACTTGTAAGTGTGTATTTCCTCCAATAGAATATAATCTCTTTGAGATCAGAGACTGTTTTATCTTGGTCTTTGAACCAAGTGTTTGGCATATAGTAAGCACTCAACTGATGTTTGATTGATCACTTTATACCACAAGTTAGAATATGATAAGGGCCTAGCGAGGTAAAAAAGAGGGAGGAGAGATTCCAAGAGGAAGGGGCCCTGTTAGCTAGAAGCATCAGAAGGGGCTTCATGAAGCAGAGAGAATCTCATCTGACCCTTGAAGAAGGAAAAGAGCTTCACAGGGGCAGATGTGGTGAGGCACAGTGAATGATGTGGGTAAATGTGTGGAGAGAGGGGAGGTCAGGATGCAATCAGGAAATGTTAGTACAACTCGAATGTCATGTACTTGAAAGAAGGAAGTATGGATAAAGTTAAAAAAAATAAGAAACCAGAAGATGGAGAGCCTTAATTAAATGCCATTTTAAGTGGCTCATTTTTTAGCCTCTAGCCCTGTAGGGGAGTCAGTGAAGGTTTTTCGAATGGGAGAGTAAAGTAATCCACATGGTTCATTAGGAAGATGTATTGGACCATAGAGGAGAGAGGTTAGAAACAGGAAGATCAATGAGGAGGGTATGACAATATCCTAAGGGAGAAGTGATGAATGCCCAAATTAAGGTAGTTGCCACATGGAAAGCGTTGCCAAAGTAGAACGGTCAGGATTGGAGGGTTAGAGAAGAGGGAATGAGCAAAGATGACCCTGAGATGGCAAGCCTTGGTCTTTTTGACCGGGCTGTCAATCTTGAAAAAAATCATTTAACCTCTAATGGTCAAACTCTTGACATTACTTTGCTAACTAAGAGCAGATGATAGTAAATATGCACATGTTCTCTCTGAATAGGCCCAGGTTTGAGTCATCTGGCTGTGTGACCCTCAGTAATGGTGTCTACCTTCACCCAACTCTCACCCATGGCTCCAAGTAGCTGTAGTATATGCAATAGCCACACCCCCGTAAAATCATCTCAGCAGATGAGCTAAACTAGATTGAGAGTAACCGATGGGCCCAAATCCACTGGTGATGGGCTCAGATCCTTTGGTGAATTAGGGGGATGTTCTGCCCCAAGCAGGCAGATGAAAACGATTTGTTCCAATGACCGTGAAGGCAACTGAAGCAGGCGCTGTGGAGCACTTAGAGTTTGGTCAGACATTAAAGACACCAGGGTCACCCACTGCATCCTGGGCCATCGCCAGACTTTTGTCTTGCCGCTGGAATTGACTCTGGAAGAGAGAGTGATGCTTATGACTCTGTGCAACTCTGCCTCACTCAAATGCAACTCATGTGCTAGTCACCACCCCGTGATGTCATTGGTCCTCTGCAAAAACAAAGGACAAACAACAACTCTGACTGGAAGAATAGTGATGTCATCAAACAAATTACCCAGGCTTTTTCTTGGTTGCCTCATCTATGAGTAGTGGAAGATTAGATGGAAGGGGGTAGATTTTGGAAAACAGATGAGAATTTTACTTCAGGACACAAATCTGAACACAATTTGAATATTTCAGTTCACTCAGGTGGCAATATCCAATTAGATGGCTGGAAATGATATTAAGGCCAAGATCTGGCTCAGACCACCATCTTAATCTATTACCTTGGTGCTATTGACATTTTTATCCTGGATTGATTACCTTTAATGGAGAAGAGCATTAGCAGAGGGGATATGGCTCCAGTGACATTTCCTGGTGTTTACTTAGTCGTCCTCCTTGTGGAGTGGGCATGGCTTTCCCAGCCTTTCCAGGAAGTGAGAGGAATTGTCTTTTTAAAATAGCATTTCAAGAGCAGGCTACAGCAGTCTGGAGAAAGGACCTTCTAGGATCCCACCAGCGGCGGATTTTTTTTTCTTTTTTGGTGAAGTAATTGGGGTTAAGTGACTTGCCCAGGGCCCTTCTACATCTTCCTGGTCAAATTGAACCTCTTGGATCAGTGTTTCTCCAGACCTGCCTGTTATCTCCCCACAACCTCCACAGGGATGGCAGGCTTGATTCTCTGAGCCATGGTGTGTGTGTCTGGTCCCAGCCATTAGCACAGTGCCTGACACTTGATGAACGCCTGCTGACTCTTTACCTACCTTACCTCTGTATCTATATATATGTAGATGACTTTGCCCTAAATTTTCCTAGTTATAAGTCTGCTCAACATTTAGTATAATGTTTTACATACAGTAGAAGCATAGTAACAGCTGGATCCATAGCCAAAAGTAGTTGCTGGGGACAAATGCTTTTTTCAAGTTCTGGTCATCATTATATTCTGAGTAGTATTATATCTACTCAACCTATTTCTTTCACTTGTTTACACATAAATATTGTGAACTATAGAAGATAGAATACTTTAATTTTAATATACATGATCTGTTAGGATAACACTAAACCACACACACACACACACACACACACACACACACACACACACACACACA